ATATTTTTTTACATATAATATTAATTTTCTATAGTACGCCTTGGTATTTAAATAAATAAAAATAAAAATAAAAATGTTACTTTTCTGTTTGAAGTGAAGATGTTTTACTCATTCATTAAAAGCATTTGTATAGCTTGTATAGCTAAAATGCCTTTTGTCTTTTAAAAAGTACATGTATATATAATTTTAAACAAAAAAAACATCATAACATAACATTAGATTATTATTATTATTATTATTATTATTATTATTATTATTATTATTATTATTATTGACCAACATTTTAAATTTATACATATTTTAATTTATAATTAATATATAATTAGAATTAGAATATAATTCGAATATATATTTTGTTCTGGATCATCTATTTAAGTTTAATGTTTGTAGTGATAATAATTCTGATACCTAGTCATGTAGCTTCCTTTAAAATATAGTTACCATAGTAACATTCTAAGTCCGTTAAACTCAGTAAGTTGCCTTATTTAAGTAGAACTTCACACTGCAGTCTTGTAGCAGCCATTCATCTTGTGATCATCTGTAGAAAGCATTGTCCGTAAGTTTTTACGGTTCATTTGTATTTAATTTGCTGGATTTATTGTTTATAAAGCTATGAAATAAATATATATGATAAATAACAGTAAATTGAGACATTATTGTATTCTTAGAGACAACTATAGCTACACTATAATTCTCCTTTCTGTAGTTTCACTCTGTTTCAACATACACAGTCAACGCGGTGTGGAATAAAGCGCATTCTCTCACATTCAAGTCTATGTGTTGGAAAGAGTTTATCTATCTGTCTAACTTTGGGAAGAGAGACACCAAAGAGAGGGCAGAATATATATATATACACAGTATATATGTATGTGTTTTTTTGTTGTTGTTGTTTTTTTAATCTATACACTCTTAAAAATAAAGGTGCTTCAAAAGGTTCTTCAAGCGATGCCATAGAACAGGGGACAGGTTTGTGTGTCATCTGAGGCCAAAGATTAGATTCTGAGAATGTTTTTGACAAAAATATTTGATTTTGACCTGGAAGAACGAAGATTGTACAAATTGGTGCGTAGTTTTGAAATTGTGTTTATAGTTGTGAGAAAATGGTTAATTGTTTTATGAATTGTGTTTTGGCAATCGAGAAAAACTGTAATGAGGCCATTTCTCAAAACATTTAGCAGAAATACTCAGCTGGGTTCCTCGAGAGTTTTAAGGTTTAACACATATTATACGTCTTAAAGCACAAAAACCAAAGTCTCAAAAAGTTCAATGTTATTGCTCTGACAATTATGAGCTGCTGACTACATAAAAGTTGTCACTTTCTGTGGCATTTGTAGAAGATGAATAAAGGCATTCATTTTAAAATAAAAACTTTTATTTTAATATTTTCATTAAAAGTATAAATATATCTTTATAGAGATTTTTTTTATTATATGTACATGTACATATATATATATA